TGATTATTTGTTAAGTTTGAAAAAAAAAAAAAACTTTTTGGGGCGCAAAGATCCTAACTGTTCTATCTACGATTACACCTTTCTACTTCCTAATTAGATTTTCTAAAAATTGTATAATGTAATAAGCGCTTAACGATGCCGAAGCGGCGCGCTCGCATTTCTCGTTTTTCCTGTTTTATAGTTGAGCTAGATAAGTTTTTTCGGACGCTTGACACGTAAGAGCGTATGATATATCGTCTCCGCACTTAGTGCTTCTTTCTATCGACTGAGTGCTTTCTGATTGTGTCCCGTGCTTGTGAAGAAAACGTCAACGTATTTTAAAGAAATGATAGTTACCTCTTTTTTTACATTCAAGAGCAGATTCTTCGAAAAAATCATAACATGTTGCTTTGAGCCTCACTTTAACGAAAACAGAACCACCGACCCCGTCCCGGGGAGGCGCACGGCCAAAAAAGGACCACACGGCACAGGGCGACCGGCAGAAAAAACCCCCACCTTTTACTGTGCTGTGTTCGTCGCAGGACTGTGTATTGTTCGTAAATGTAGTAAAGGAGCTGGTGATACGGTCATCTCTCAGAAACCACAAAAATTCTCTGCATTCCACCCACAAGACGTAATGGGTGAATGTGTACCCTTACGCCGCCACCACACATTTAAGTTGTTGCGTTTTATTCTTTAAAATAAAAAAGACATTTTGTTCATTTTGGTAAATGGCGAGATAATTCTCATCAACCACATAATTATAGTCTATAGCTGAACATGGAGCACTAAAACGTTTTCAGTATTATTTTTATAGGTAGAGAAAATTACCCGAAATATGTGGAACATAAGTATATGTATGTATATATATATATATATATATATATATATATATATATATATATATACATACATATATATATATGTATGTATATATATATATATATACATACATACATATACATACATACATACATATATATATATATGTCGGTCACCTATCGCTGATTTGCCAGAAGCCAATGGAATGACCGCGGCAAAAAACAGATAGGTGAATATTTAACATTTTTCTACACATAATTATTTATATAAATGATTGGCTCAAACTCTGGTCTGGTTTCCTACCACCAACTACTAGAAAAAGTGTTTCCTATCATCACTTATAAAGCATCAGCAATTTAAATAGATTTTCAGTCAATAATCTTGTACCATGCCTGCACTTACATTTTTGAAGATCACATTTGCAAAAATAACTAGTATATTCTCCTGTCACCTACTCTTATTACTTAGGTGCAGGATAATATGTTAAATGAAAACATTTATTTATCGACGGCAGGGGCACTAAAGAACGGCAAATGGACGGAGAGGGAAACCACAAACGCGAAACTCACACTCTGAATATTTTTCTCCCCGACATAAAATCCCTAATGAGTTTGCCGGAATAATTGTTGCAACACTAGGAAGGTGCGGAGTACGTCGGATTAATTAAGACCGGCGCCGCAGTGGAGAGCCGCGGTCAGAGTGAAATGTTACATAAATAAATGAAACAAGAACCAACTGAAAGCAAAATATATTAAAATAGAAAAGAGAAGCGTCCAAAACTTTCGGTTTCCCTTTTTATAGCTTCTTCGAGGAACTTTTTTTTCACCCAACATTATTTCATTCGGGCCCCATTTGACTGAACGAAAGCCCGTCTAGAGTGAGCGTATTGTGCCGTCTTCATAAAGAACGCCGCGTTCCCAGTAGAAAGAGTGTACTCTTGTACTCTGCACTCACCATTCGAAACACTGCAGCACGAGCAAGGTTCTTTTCCGATCAAGCCGAACCATTCGTACTAAAAAGCCGAACCATTTGTACTAAGCCGTAACGAGCGGAGAGCGGACGGTTTTCACCCGACCCTCCTGTGCCAAATAGGAGCATTATTAGGGAAAATAGTAGGCCGCCAGATACTTTATATACTCAATGTCTCAGCTGTCAGCGATGTAGTAGTAACCTATCGCGTCATCCGTCCCTATCGACATTCTTTTATTTAGGCTGTTTACCAAATTAAAAAAAAATGATATAAATATTTATTCCTTCCTTAATGAAAGTCAAACCTTAATTTCGTAATTTATTTTCTTTCTGGAAAAACGATTGATCTCCTGTTAGGAATTTCTCCTGCATCGTGGAGATATTTTACTTACATACTTTTATTCTTATAAAGTACCACGATTGAGACAAACGAGTACACAGTCCTACTGACAGTAAGAAGATGCTAAGACCCATTAACACCTATCTATGGTATGTTTTATTCCATCCTTGCATTTTACGCATAGCTCCTATCATATCTTATAAGTGTACATTAAAATAAATTTTTTACTTCATGAACGTTCTAAAATAGTTCCTCTATATAAAACGAAGTGAGTCGAAAGAGTTAATTTATATAGCTTCCTGCCAATTGATCCTATGGTTCCTGGATAGCTGACGTATAGAAGGAGTTGCGACCGTTAAGCGATTTTCTTATTTCCGTAAAGTTCTTTGAAGACATCGCTACTAAACCTATGAGCTACTGAACTCAACCAGCGGTAATTAGAACTGAAGTGATCTTAAAAATATGTTTTTCTTTGCGCTTTATAAAACTCTATGTGATAGCTTCGTTGGTCCAGTGGTCGTAAACACGACTGCTGATCATGACGACCCGAATTCAAATCGCCGGACCAAAAAATCATAAGTGATTGAGATTTTCTGTCAAGAAATTCTTAGTAGTAGCCCGGATACAGGAAGTGGGCGTCGTTTCACCCTTGTACCACGGAAAGCATGTAAAGCCGTTGGTATTGCGCCTAATCCCTCTCCAATCACATTGGTTTAACGTCCCTTCGGACTATCAAGGTAAGGGAATAAAGAGTGCACGTATGCTCGCGTATACACTCGGGCACTATAATCATGTCCTGCCTAGATGGCTAGCCTCAATTGAGGCTGACGTTCAGTCTGGAGGACATTACAAATTCTATGTAGGCAATGTGCATAGAGTTTTAGAAACACATTTTTAAAGTCTTTATAATTCAAAATCTTCATCAAAATCTCGTGGACTGGACATAGGACCTCTCCCGAAGTCCAAAGGTTGTTGTTTGAAACACAAAGCATTACGTATATATGAGATTAAGCCTATTTATATTACTACAAATATTTGCCCGAGCACTTATCTTTAGTCGAGTCTTTCGACGCTAACAAAGTGAGACAGATAACGGATTCACTCAGTCTATTACAAAGTAAAATGGACAATGTGCGAGGGAGGCCTCGTGATTCGTTATGAACAATTAACTTTTATTTCTAAAAAAAAATGTTTGTTTTATAACACGTACAAACCAAATTATGAATAGATGTTTCCAATATTGATTGTTAAGAAACAGTATAGTATTGTACAAAACATACAGAAATTTCAAATTCCTAACTAGTTTAGTTTTTGAAATAAATCTCACGGCTTTTATTTATTTTTGATAATAAACAACAATAATAAATACATTAAGTATTTTACTCAATGAGACCTATATAATGAATTCCCACATGCTAGGATATGAAATTATTTTCCGCACGATATTATGTAGTATTGGAGGGAACCTCAAACACCTGAAAAAGAGTTCAATTAAATAATGATTTCTTATATTTACGCGAACACTATACATGATTAAAACTACTTTTACGGATTTTATCGCGTTTATTTTTACTTTTTATTTACTCTTATTTTTAATTTAATTATTTATATAATTAATTAAAAAAGCTGAAAGTCATCTCAGTCCCCCGTGACCATGGGTGCTGGAAAGCGCCCGAAACGTCGGGAATTAAAAATAAGAGTAGATAAAAAGTAAAAATAAACACGATAAAATCCGTAAAAGTAGTTTTAATCAGTTCAATTAAAGTTTTATTACAATATTCGATTTTGGGTCAACATTCTAAACCAAACATCCCATTTCAAGGTTTCTAACTCATTCAGTCTACGAGCTAGAAATCCATGACATACAGATGGACAAACAGGCAGACATACAAAAGAGTAACGTTAATAGGGCTCTGATTCACCCCTAGGGTCGTCGTTATTGTTACAACAGTAGCCCACTGCTTAACAAAACTTTCCACCTCAGAGTGCCTAATTTATTTGAAGCAGGGCTAAGACTATCGTTGCGTGTTGTCTTCACTACTATTACTAGAAAGTAAAGGCTTTCCCACGCATCTTCATCGCCAAATATTTGGTAAGTCCGCATTAAAAACTGCCAATAATAATTGTCATGTAGATTGGGGAGTAGTACCTATATATTAAAACGCCTACTCCGGTAGGTATGTTTCTCCTTTTCTTCTTTTTGAAGTGAAAACTTTGGAATCGTGTATTGAAACTCGATGAAACGAAAAAGCGACAGTAAAAAGAGACAAACATATCGTCCGTGAACTTCTGATACCTCCTAACTCGCATTTTTTCGCAAAACCTTTTTTAACGCCATCGTTTGACAGAGATCAGAACCAATATAATGCATTAACCTCCTAAATAAAATACTTGTTTTTTTGGTCACTATCCGTTCGGAGAAATACCTTCAAAATTTTGCCGCCCTATTTTTGCTGGAAATTTCTCCTAACTAACAGTTTGCTCGAAGCGCGTACACGGCTATTTAGTATTCTGGCGTTTGGCATTTAAAAGTATTTTTTTGGTATTTTTATCACTTCGTTGGTATTTACATTAGTGTTATAGCTAACTGAAGGTGTTTCACTGATTTTGTTTCATAAAGTAGGTACGTATATTATTATTAGCTATGATTTATTTCAGGTCAAAGTTTTTTTTGTCAGATAGGAGTAATTTCTTTGAACACTTTTTTACTTCAATTTGGTAAGTTATGTTTTCAATTAATGCAGTTAGAAGAAATTTCTTAAAAGTTTAATACTTACTTTTACCTTCTTAAATATCTACGATCTTTTAACCTGTCTGAGGAGTACGATCATAAATTATTTGGTATTTTGTGTAGTTAAAAGATAACTTATTTATTTCAGATTTTGTCATAATGGCATCAAGCAACAGAGCACATGCACTCGTTAATATAATTTGCAATCCAATTGAACCAGAGAATATGGCATCCACGTCTCATGCACCTGTTTCTGTTTTGGTAAAGAATGTCCTAACAGAACCACATTCTTTTGAAAGGATTGAATCTCAGTTAGGGGAAATTTTACTAACTGCAGACAATGACCTCATTCAATTAGAAGAACTAGTGGCGCTTGACTCACCGTCGCTATTAGAAACACCGTCTCCGAGGCCAATTTCACCACCACCTGTGAGAGATGCTTGTGAGGACTTTTCTCCTGATGACGACAGCGATTACGAACCACCCAATGATCGTGGTGCTTTAAGTTCGGATTCGGAAAATATCCCTCCAAATGAAGAGACTCTGCAAACGAACGAAGAGGTAGTTCACTTTGGAGATATGTTTGAAGGCCGACGTAGACAGAGACTAGCTTAACCCGAAAGTTGGAAGAAAAGTATTACTAAACGGTTAAGGATGTAGGGGAAAGAGTATGTCGGTTACATAAGACCAAAGGGTGAGAAAGTACAAAGCCAAATTCGAAACCAAAGGGTCCTTGGCCCTAAATGCAATTCAGATTTTTGTAGAAATAGTAAGTTGAGATGTTGTGATGAAGTAGGGAATGAGGACAGAGAGAAGATATTTCGACAATTCTGGAGCAATATGGACTGGCATCAACGAAAAGTGTATGTTGCTAACAACATAACTTTTCAGGAAAAAGGTAGGCAGACATCAATAAATTCGAGAAGAGCTGGTACTTTCGTTTATTTTCTTCCAGTGACTAATTCTGTAGATGGAACCACAACTAAGAAGCGTGTGTGCCGTGAAATGTTTATTCAAACTTTGTGTATTGGAACATTTTCAGTTCAAAATTGGGCAAAAAAGGAATAAGTGGCATGCATCTATCTGAAAAAAAAATAATAATCGTAACCGTCGTCCTAAAGCGCAATTGTCTCAAAGACTTGACATTCTCGATAACTTTTTCAATGTATTACCTAAAATGCCGTCGCATTACAACCGTCATAACACTACCAAAGTCTACTTGTAACCAATTTATCGCAACGCCACTCACTTTTACAATACTTATAAACAATACTGCTCAGAAAAAAATGCAGATCCTTACGCTAGAAATAAATTCAATCAAACTATCAAATCGAAGAATATAGCTATCCACACAATAAAGAAGGACATGTGTGATGTTTGTGTAGGTCATCAGAGCGGTAATGTAAGCGAAATTGACTACCAAACACATCTAAGAAGAAAAAATCGAGCCCGTGAAGAAAAATCTATGGATAAAAGTGAGGCGATCAAGAGAAACTGCATAGTTTTAACAATGGATTTACAATCGGTTAAAATGTGTCCGTTTATCACAGCTAGTGCTGTTTACTATAAAACAAAATTATGTGTACATAATTTTACCATCTATGATTTAGCATCTCATGAGTGTACATGTTACTGTCTACCTATGCGTCATTTATTATTGATTATTTGACCCGCCATAGCCTTCCCAAACATCTACCCATAATAATATACTCAGATGGCTGCACAAGCCAGAACCGAAACAATATATTATCGAATGCTTTATTAAATTTCTCCATGCAATATCAAGTGGCTATAATACAAAAATATCTTGAAGTAGGACATACGCAGATGGAAGGAGATTGTGTACATAGCGCTATAGAAAGGAAATTGAAAAATAGGCTAATCCACTTACCAAGTGATTACCTGTCGGTTACCAAAGAAGCTCGCAAAAATCCTTGTGAGTACGAAACTGTAATGGTAGACTATACATTTTTCAAAAACTATTCGGCTCCTGAAACATGGCGCTACACTTCGATCCGACCGGGACGCAAAGCTGGAGATCCAAAAGTTACTGATATAAGGGCTATTTTTTATGACAACACAGGCCTGATTAAGTTTAAATTGGACTTTGACTCCGATTGGGATAGCCTCCCTCAAAGGGTTAATAAAATTGCCATCATAAGAGAGTACGCATCCCTGCATAGGAATAGAATACCTATCACATACCAAAAATATAACATACCAAAAATATAAGCTAACATTTACAGGAGCTAACGTCTGTTATCCCATTGGACTGTCATTCCTTTTACGACAGTTTACCTCATAATGAACATTAACATTCCTAACGTTACCTTAGTATTAGAAATATGATTTAACATGCTGGATAAATGATGCGAATTACTTGCTAAGATGATTTTAAGTTTTATAAAAACCTCAAAGATTTGAAATAATTTTAAGAATGTTAATTAATTTTTAAAGCAACCTTTTTCAAGACTGTTTAAGTTTAAGTTTTGTTTCTCATATTTTTATTAATGTCTGATTGTGATTTTGTAACATTTCCCTTCAGCAACATAAATAAATATTATATTTCTGTATTTTATTGTTCTTCCTTAGTTCAAAATTTAAGTTAGATGCACACTTTGGGGGTTGATTTCTCCTAAGTAACTAAAGGAAATATCTCCTATCTGACTTTAGTATTGAATTCGAAAACTTAAAACTCCTAACTAACATAAAACAAAAAAAAAACAACAGCACTAACTTTATTTAATTATAATTAATAAAATGACATAAAAACCGACCAACTACTTTTTTGTTTTATAAAAAAACATCGTGAAAAGGAAATAAATCAGTTTTATGGCCCTACTGTAAAATTTGTTTGTAGGTAGATAGGAGATCTCAGAAGTTCACGGACGATATACATCTATTAGATTTGACCTGCGAGAGAATGAGATATTATTATTATACAGTATTTCCTTTTATCTCGGTCTCTCTTTCTGAAGGTTTCACTTCTACCGCCTATGAACTGCATACACTGTTTTTTTGTATGTATATTACATTATATCCTTGTCAACTGTGAAATGATTTTAATATTTTTTTATAAAATGGCTTATTCATCAGGGGTGATCTGCTATAAATTTGGAGCAGAAAGTCCACAAAGGTAGTAAAATTGGAGGTGAAGACTTTAATGGAACTATTTTCCCCATTCCCATATTTTATATTCCCCATCGGTTATCTGTTATTCGAAAAATATGGCCGGCTCGTAAGTTCGTTGGTCACTCCAATCTTATAAAAAACAGACTCGTCGAATTATTACATCATAAACGAGTTACAAACACATTAAAAAGAATATTAAAATTAATTATATATATATATATATATATATATATATATATATATATCAAAATCAATAGATAATTAGAATTAATTACTAACACTTATGGATATATCTTGTCCGAAAATAAAGTGATTTGATTTGTTATTTGATAATGAACAAAGATGGATGAATGATTAATATTTCAAGAACAGATAAACAATTTGGAAGTAAAATGGTAAATTAAAATAAAATACTTTGTTTTCCTAAGACATATTATTTTTGTTCTTCTAAACAACTAGAGATAATTTAAAAATAAAAATGGCAACCCTACCCGCAGCTGTAGAAGATTGGACGGTAGTATAACTAACTTTAAATCAAACGGACAAACTAAACTCCTGGCTCGAAATTGCTTGAACGGATAAACAAATAAATACATTTACTTTTAAAAATTCCAGAGCACTTTCGATTTATAGTCCTTTCACTTTAAAAAGCGAATTACTTACCTACAAATCAATCGAGGGATCAGCGTCCTCGGGTTTAATGTCCGTGGTGACATTCGAGTTAATAAATGTAAGTCTCAGTACATATACGTGTAAGAAGCTTTATAGTCACTTAAACTCTTCGTTGAAAACCCTTACAAGTTACATATTTATAAGAAATATAATTTATCGCTTTAGCTTCGTTTCAATATTCAGACATATTATTAGCAGTATTTATGGCGTTGTAAGTACCGCGCAGTGGCGGTGCAACAATATCCACAATATAGACACCACAACATCCCGTGGGTGTCGTAAGAGGCGACAGAGGGGAACACATCAGAAGATGGCAGCAGCGTCTTCCTGATAACGACTAAAACAAAAACAACGAAGCGTAGCAACTATGGCAAATATCTCCCTTTTGAGGTAATCTATGGAGGAGGCCGTTGTTCAGCAGTGGACATAAATATGCTATAACATTACTGGTACCGGTAACGTTAAGTTCTCGAAAACTGCGACGGAAATGAAAACGGCTAAACCCTCAATATTGTTTTATCCCTTTCCATTTATTTATAATATACAACAAATTATATTAAACACACTTGATAATATTTAAAAGAACGCTACTAAAACTATTAATCAACATTAAACAGTTTTATTCTACATAACGTCACGCCTGTAATGCCTGATAGGGTGGGCAGAAACCAAAGAGGAGCGACCTAATCGGACCACATTTAGCAACAAAATATTGTATAATGAAGCATACAGCAAAGGTGTAGAATAATTTGCCAGCATCTGCCTTTCCATCCACTACCCCATATCGTCCCGTGGGTGTCGTAAGAGGCGACAGAGGGAAATTGAAACAGGTGAAGGACTGCAGCATCTCCCTGATTACAACTCTAATAATAAAAAATATGGTTTACAACCCGCTCGCCAAGCGTGTCAACTATGGCAATATCCCCCACATGAGGCACTCTATGGGGGAAGCGTATGTCCAGCAGTGAAAGTATAGGCTATGATTGTGATGACGATGCTTTTGTTAAGCTAAGTCTGTGCGCTTCTCTACCTCCGGCTGCATCATCAAATACCTTCAGGTGTAATATACTACATTAAAAAAAACACCAAACAGCGCGATTTATGACTTTCATAAAAATTTCGAAATTTCTGATAAATTAGTAGGACTATGATAGTACAGTGGCGATTTTGGAATTAGTACTAATTCATATCATCAAATGGATGTCGTAAGAGACGAGAAATAAGTCAGGGAATAACTTAAATTACTAGGTTAAAAAACCCGAAACAAAAAGCCTGGACTTCACTCGGGCCAGAGAGCGATACTGTATTAAATTCTACGAATAATAGTCTAAAATCGCGCTTCTTGAATTACCGCGCAGTAACACTAATTGTATCTGTAGGCGATAAAGCTAATGCCCAAATACTTAAACGCTACTTAATTTTATGATGTCGTTAAGTCTCGTGCTGTCTCATGGTTAAGTATTTGACAGAGTGTTAAATTTCTTCTTAAGTACTACAGCAGAAAACTGACCTCCTCCCGACATCTATACTATACTGATATTATATTAAAGAACATTATTCCAGATGGACATAGACTATATATTATGGAAATACTTATATTATAGCTAAAACTAATGAAATAATGTGATATCGTCATGTTAGTCGCAAAAAGTCGAGTCTCTTGATACTTTCCGTGGTGTGGTTTTGAGAATAACTCACAGTAACCATTTTATATTAAAAAAAAACTCGTATAAAGTCGATGACGAAACGCGAAGAATCAATTTATTTCGAAACCTAAGAAAAAAGTGATACCATAAAGTTTCAAAATTATA